CTCAAGCGTCGAGTGTGTGCGCGTTCTCCACGACGTGGGGCTTGAAGATGCGCAGGCCGAGCTCCGCCACGTAGCCATGCACTTCCTTCACGTCCTACGAATACACAACAACCCAAAGCTTGAGCTCTGCTTCGGAGAGACAAGAAGAAGAAGAAGCAGGCGTACGAGGTGACGGAAGAAGTCGATGATGGCCTGGCTCACCTCCTGTCCGGGGACGAGGATCGGGAAGCCGGGCGGGTACGGGATCACGAAGTTGGCCGAGACCAGAGGGATCGCGCACTTGTTCACGTCATCGAGCCTCTTGTCCCGCAGCGGAATGTAGTCACAGTCATCCTGCACCACGCCTGATGGTCAGGACGACACACGCACACGACCAACGATACGACACGACACGACACGACACGACACACGAAGGGTGCGCACCTCCTCGTAGGCCATGAAGAAGGGCATGCGCAGGACGCCCTCCTCGGTGATGGTGCTCTTCCTGAACTTGGGGTGGAAGTGGGAGAAGTTGGGGAGCGGCGGCATGTTCTGCGTGAGCTCCCACCTGCAGGACGGCGACAATGCGAAGTCAGCCGACTGACGACATAAGAGCACACGGTGTGTGGTGTGTGGTGTGTGTGGTGTGGTGTGTGTGTGTGTGGTGTGTGGTGTGTGGTGTGTGTGTGTGGCACGCACTTCTTCTTTTCGTGGAGCTTCATCTCCGCGGGCGACCTGTCTTCCAGCGAGGCGTCGATGAGCTCTCCGATCTTGATGAGCGACTCCAGCAGGTACGCGATGGAGCTGGACCGGCCGGTGAACGACGAAAAATAGAGAGACAGAGAAAGAGATGAGTGAACTGCAGCGTAACGCGGGTGCGCGCGCGCGGGGAAACAAAGTGTACCTGCGGGTGGTGCCGATGGTGAGCATGAACAGCACAGAGTTGATCGAGGTCTTGTTGACCTGGATCTGGAAGCGGTCCATGAGGTAGTTGGTCTTGAACGTGTCGCCGTCGATGCCCGTCTACCGATGGCGAAGAGTGTCAGCTCGTGCGTGTGCGGTGGTGCGTGGCGTGTGTGGTGGTGGTGGTGGTGGTGGTGGTGGTGGTGGTGGTGGTGGTGGTGGTGTGTGTGTGTGTGTGTGCGGCAAGCCTGGACGGACCTTGCCGATGTGGAGGGTGAGGCGGTTGGGGTCGAGCACGAACTCGTCGAAGAGCCATGCCTTCCGGAGGGCGAGCCACGACTCCTCCGTATCGGTGACGTGGACGTAGCTCTTCAGCTCGGACTCCTGCCTGTACTCGGCCGGGATCAGCTCGTCCACGTCCTGCGCGTCGCCGTCGGGTCAGTACCTCATCCGCCGCACGCACGCATACTCGGTTGGTATGGTGGGGATGCGTACCAGGAAGTGGAACCAGCGGTTGAGGTCGGGGTTGTCCGCCAGCTGCTTGCGCATCATCAGCGCCTTCTCCGTGTGCTGCACAACAATGGGGGGGGAGTCGGTCAGCCTGAGAGTTGAGTTTGCGTGTGCGTGTGCGTGTGCGGTGCGTGTCGTGCCTTCTGCACGAGCTCCAGGCCCTCGAGGGCCATCTGCCTGCGGCCCACGTCCAGACTGGCCAGGATCTGGTAGTTGGGCGATGTCGACGTGTGGGTGAAGAACGACTCCGTGAACGGACGCTCGACCGATCGCTTGAAGTCCTGTGTGTTGGTCGAACCCAACCCCCCCGTTTCGATAGATTGGTGGTCAGCTTCAGGCGTCTCACATATGCCCGCCATAACGTGAATTCCTTGAGGGCGCACCTGATCGCGGACGTGGATCATCGACCCTTGCCTGAGGGCCGTCAGCGTCTTGTGCGTCGACTGAGTGGCGTACACGCGGATCCGGACCTGCACAGGTCGCGCACGCGCAAACGCCCAGAAGCAACCTTGTTACTCACATACAAAGAAGAAGAAGAAGAATTTTCGAAGCCGTACGGTGCTGGGGTCGGGAAGCCACCGCTTGGCGGGGTCGAACATCTTGGCCTCGTCGCCGTCGTTGGCCTTGACCCAGTTGTCGTACTCCGCCCTGTAGCTGGCCGACTGGTAGCGCAGCTTGAGCTGCTGCGCTCCATACATGGCCGTCCTCAACTACACGCACACAAAGCACGGGACACACGGCACACATAACACACATCATCGCACACGCACACGCACGCGTGAGTCAATTCCGTCACCGTGGCTGGTGGCAGAGGCTGGGGAGGGGCACGTACGCGCAGGAGGTAGTGGAAGTAGGCGAAGCCCCACCAGGCCTCGTCCCACAGGAACACGAGGTCGGGCTTGATGGCCAGACACTCCTCCATCACCCGCTGCACGTTGTAGACGATGCCGTCGAACGTGCAGTTCGTGAGCCTTCGGGCGGCAGCGACCAGTCGGTCGGTGCAGCGAGTCAGCACAAGAGAACGACTGTTCGGGCAGGAGTGAGCGGGTGGGCGGGCGGAGGGCGAGATACGCACAAGACCATCTTGACCTTGGCGAGCGTGCCAGCGGCCTTGTGCTTGAGAAGCGTCTCCTTAATGGTGCGCAGCGGCACAGCGCCGTACATGGCGTACTGTGTAGGAAAAAGAAGAAGCCAAAATGGTAAGCGACGTGTGTGCGACGTCAGTGGCGCCGCGCATGCGTTGGGCACGTACCTGGCGCAGCGGATACGCCTCCAGATACACGACCGAGGCGCCGACCAGCGCCAGGCCCAGGTGGTGCGACTTGTGACAATTCCTGGAGCGAAAGTCAGCCACATATATAACAATAAAAACATACATAATAAATAAATACTCATAGTAAATAAATAGAGGTTTGATGGCTGACCTGTCGACGAGCACGATGTCGCCGGGACGAACGAGTCCCTGGACGACGATCTTGTTGGCGGTGGAGGTTCCGTTGGTGACCCAGAACGAGCGGTCAGAGCCAAAGGTCTGCGCGGCCAGCTCCTGCGCCGCCTTGATCGTCCCGTGCGGCTCCAGCAGCGAGTCCAGCCCGCCACACGTGGCCGAAGTCTCCGCAAGGAAGATATTACGGCCTGGACGCACACGCACATCATACGCAACATGCACAGCACACGCACCGCCGCACAAGCACACACGCACACAAGCACATGTCGGCACCATGTCTCGTGGGCAGAGCTGGAGCGGGAACAGGGGGGGGGAGAGAGCGAGCGAAGGTACCGTAGAAGTTGAACATGTCCTTGATCCAGTGGGAGTGGGTGAGGGAGGCGCCCCGGGAGATGGGCATAGCGTGGAAGACACCCATGGGGTTCTTGCTGTAGTTGACCAGAGCGTTGAAGAACGGCGTCTCGAACCTGGCCTGCACGCCCTGCAGGATCGAGAGGTGCAGCTCCTGGAGGAGGAAAGGGAGCAAATGGTAAGAGAGTGCATGCGCCTGTGTCGATGTTGCTAGTGTCTCAGAGTGTGGCAAGCGCGCACCTGCGCGTCGTTGGACTCGTTGTAGAAGACGCGGTTGAATTGATTGTTGTGGGTGAGGGCCACCCGCTCCACGGGCAGATCGCTGAAGCAGAAGATGTCCAGCTCGGGCCTTGCGGTCACATGATACACATTATTATTTATAATCTCAGCACAGAATTGAGTCACTACTCAAAGATGACCCAGTCTGTGTGCGGTGGTGTGCGGTGGTTGCGTGTGTGCGTGTGTGCGTGCGTGTCAGGCCGTACCTGATCTCCTTGATGATTTGGGCCAGCAGCATCGTGCGCGCTTCCTGCTGGGTCAGCGAATGCTCGTCCTTGCCCAGGGAACTGCATTTGTTTGGGCCAAGCGGAACCGATCAGCCCATGAGTCTCGTGCTGTGCGTGCTATCGTGCCGCGTACCCGTATTTGTTCAGGTAGGGAGACGAGTGGAACGAGGGCTGGCCGTGGCCGTTGGGCGACTGGATCTGGAAGTTGCTGCGCACCACCACGCTCTGGATGGTGGTGTTGAACAGGATGGCGCAGATCGCGTCCTCGAGCGACGCCACAGTCTGCACCACCACGTCGTGGACAGCACACAACGTGCCGTGCACACACGACACGATATGACACGACACACATCTCGTTAGCATGTGCGATGATGATGGGTGGCTGAATGGGTGGCTCGGAGGCCGCACCAAAGCGCTGTAGGTGAAGCTGTCCGAGGTGGACCGCGCTTCGCTGAGCGAGTGGGCCAGGCCGTGCGAGTCCTGCTCCACTCCCACGACCAGCACTTCGAAGTACCCGCGGCAGTGGGTGGCGCCGTCCTCCTCCTGCAGCAGGCTGCTTGACTCGTCCTTCTCCTCCCACACCTGTGCCACATCGAACGCCTTCCACCTCAGCTGGCGGTACACCTGCGTACACACTCAATTTAATAAATATATTTCTGAAAAGATTATGAAATAAAATAATTATTGCAACAAAATGAAATAAAGCAATAATCATACATCATAAAATCAAGAAAAAAATGAATGAAAATAAATAAATAAATGAAAATCTGGAAGTGGCACCTGGTCGTTGATGGCAGGGGTGATGTGGGCCACGGCCGCGGCGAAGCGCTGGTAGTGTCCATCCTCATAGAGCTGCACGAGTTGATGGAAATTCCTTCGGCCGGGGAAGCCCCAGAAATCCTCTACGTTGCGGAGAAGCTTGATGCGCGTCTCGATCTCGCGCTTGTGGTGCTCGTCCGGCTGCGGCGGGCAGTTGCCGTCGCCCTTGAGGAGCGGGCTGCACAGGTGGTTGAGCTCGACCCAGGTGTCGTCCCGCAGCCGCGCCGGGAAGAAGAAAGATCCGAGCTGCGACGAGGGCAGCGACGAAGGCGAAGTCGTGGCCGACACCGTGAGAGCTGCGACCTCTTCGCCGTTCTGCTGTTGGTGTTGGAGCTTCTTGGGGAACTTGCGCACCAGCGCGCTGAACGTGTGCGAGTGCTTCATCACCTTCTCCATCTTCTTCAAAACAAGAAACAAGTCTTCTTGGTGGAGTTGCGGGCGTATTGGATTTTCCATATCTTTTGGGACCGTCGCACGAGCAACGCCAATCGGACGCGTCATCGTTACTGTACAGCGCACTTCTTCTTCTTCTTGTCGCTCTCGGCTTCCTGGGCCTTCAGCATCTCCTTGATGCCCGCAAGGTTCACACGCTGAGCACACACCACGTCCCCTCCTTGTTGGTAAGCAACAAGAACAACAACAACAAGGTGGTTTCGAGTGGTGGAGAGATCACACCTGTTCGTGGTCGTAGCCACTGATCTGTGTTCGTCGTCGATACACTTCCTCCACCCATTCCTTGAGCATGTCCTGCCGGTGGTGATAATCCATGAGCGATGCGTAGAAGAAGCCGGAACTGCGGGCGAGAGGTCAGAGAACAAGAGCTACAGTACCGTTTGGGTCACGCTTTCCATGTTGTGGCCGTCGCCGTCGACCTCGATCAGTTCCACATTTGCGTTCTTGTTGGTCTCTGCGATCTGCCTGCTCACATCGACACTGACCACCGAGTCTGCACGCGTGAAGCCAGGTTCGCAGCACTTAGCTCATCAGCCAGCAGCAGCACACTCCTTCATGCACAATGAAGATCAATGCGCGCACCCTGCGTGCCGTGGGCAACGATGATGGGAACGCCAGAGGGAAGCGAGATATCGTCAACGCTGAGCATCACAGCAGGGCACATCTGCACCCAGTCGACCATCACGATTGTCAGTGCAGTGTGACTTGGGTCAGCGCAAATGCATTTGGTGGCGTTTGGGCACCAGCACGGCCGGACCGCGCCACAGCCCCAATCGTAGCAGCTCGAGCAGCAGCGCTCCGCCCAGCGAGGTGCCCACGCACACGTCGGGCTGGAAGTCGCCTGCGCCCAGTAGACCGTCTAACGGTTAGGAGGAGAAAGAAGAAGAAAAGAAGAAGAGGGCATGAAGAGGGCATGTGTGGCGCGAAGGAAAGGAATAGTACGGAGGGTGGTGCACTGAAGGAGGCGGCAGCGGTCGTAGAAGGAGGTGTTGACCATGTGCGGACACGAGCAGTCGAAACGCTTCGTGAGGTACTGCGCCTTGTACGACTTGACCGGGTCCGCCCCGCCCCCGTGCATGTAGAGCACCTTCAGCGGTGACCGGGCCACTTCTTCCTCCTGTTCCATCTCCAAGCGAGAGTGATAAAAATGCAATTGTGTTTTACGAATTTTCTTTCTGGTATGTCAGCAATGTTGTGAATTCGTGGAATATTGTTTGGCAAAAAGGCGCGCAAAACAAAACGCATCAACTCAAGATCGAAACAACAAGGCAGAGACAATCAACAAGATCCACATTATTAGGCCGACAGATTAAATGGAGATGTTCTCGCCCTTCGGTCAGCCAACTACGTCGCAGCCATCTCCTTTCGGAGTGCCAACCTCTGGCAGCATGGTGTTCTCTTCGCCGATGAAGCCATCGAGCGCAGGATTTACGGCAGGGGCGGCATCGCCGATGGTGATGCAATCGCCTGCCCGACATGAAACGCCGAAGAAGATGACGATGACGGTCGCCAAGAGCGCCAAAAGGCAGAAGGTGATGGAGGCCTGTCTGCGAAAGGTGAAGGCAAATCGCCACTCGCTTGTATCGAGCATGCGAGCCGGAGGGCTTACCCCCGCCTCATTCCGAAGCGAAATCGGCAAGCTGGTCAACTACGAATGGAGCACGATGGAGAATGGAGCCGGAGTGGCGCCCAATTCCGCCATGCACGTCGTCGATCCTGACTATCAGGGGCTCAGGCAGGAGGAATTGGAAGAGGCCGAGTATGCCGAGACCATCATCGCCCTCGAGCAGGCCTTCCTGGAGGATATTCGACGAGAAGGTACCCTCTCATCCACTTTATTATATTTATTTAATAATTAAAACATTAACACTCTGCTCCTGCTGCAGAGCAATCACTGGTGGATCAGTACTTTGAGGAAGTAAGGCGATTCGAGGAGGAGCAAATCCAAGGTAACGACCTCCTTTGCGTTCGATCGGACACCAGTTCATCCTCCAGCTCAACGCTTGTGTGTTGCCGTACGCCTGTAGATGCCATCGACCGATATGTGCCAGAGGAGGAGGGCGAGGAGGCGGTCTGGTGTCCCATCTGTCGGCGAGGTCAGCTCAAGCAAAGCCACCGCATCATCTTCTGCTCGCATCAGCCTTGCGGCCTGCGATTAGACACCAAGGTTAGCAGTTCAGTTCCACCTTTGTTGGGTCAGACATTTTTGCTCATGGCTTCTCTTTTGTGTCATCCAGCAAGACGAGGTCAACCTCTCCTACGTCCGCCACCGCTTGGGCGAAACGATCACGCAGCACTCGTACGAGTAGCTCCATTCCACTGATTTCTGCCATCTCTCGCTCTCTTTCGCCTATACGCTTACACTGTTTCTCTCCACCTGACCAGCCAACGCTGCGGTGCCGGCCCCGGGTTTGCTCTGCGCCAGGAGCCCCTCTCCGGCACGGTGATGCTTTGCATGGCCTGCGAGGCCTGCAACACCCTCGACGTCGTGCTCTAGGCTGGCTCTGCAGTAGTCCCTCCTCTCTCTCCCGTCTTTCAGCTTCATGTAGAGTTTCGTTTGTTTTGGCAGTTCTCATCTCTCTCTATCAGACCAGCTGGTCATCTTGTGTAAGGGTGAACCGGCCAGCCCATCGGCTGCGTTCCTCATTCAGAACATACAACACGTCGATCAAAGGTGTAAGTGGCCTTCCTCTTCTCACGGTGTCCTTGTTGCTTGCTTGGCCGCCTTTTTGGTCCTGGTTCCCCTTTTATGGAGTTGAGCCATTGAGCGACGGTTCGAACCTTGGGAAGCTCAAGCACGCCGCCTTTCATCACTGCCTCGACAGCTCTCTCTGGGTAGCCCTGCTGCGCACCTCCCCGCAAAGCTCAGTGTCAGCTCAGTGAGGACGCAGCCAGTCACCAGCCTTTCAAACATCTGGTACGTGGGTCCCTCCTCGCCTCATCCAATTCAAGAATCAGTGAGATTGAAGAAAAATCTTTAACAAATCTTTTTTCTAACAGGCGAGATGAGCAGTCACGAACAGCAGGAGGGGCCAGCTGGCGGCACGCCGCGGGAAGATATGAGTGAAGAAGTAGAGAACGTGGAGGGAATGGAGGTGGAGGCAGAGGCAGAGTCAGAGGAGCCAACTGGAGGGCAGGGCGAGGAAGAGGTCGGAGAAGAAGCAGATGAGCAGCACGAAGTGGAACCAGAGGCCGAGAACAAGGAAGAAGTAGTAGTAGAAGAAGCAAAGGAGGAGGAGAAAGTCGAAGAAGCAAAGGAAGAGCAGGATACTGCAAGTCACGGCGAGGTGAAGGGTGAGAGCAGCTCGGAGCCGGAGGTTGTGGAGAGCCAGCACCACGAAGAAGCGCCTACCGCCGTGTTCTCAGCTGAAGCCAACGGCGCTGACGGGCAAACGCCCGCGGCGATGGAAGCCCCGGCCAACGTCAACCCGCTCTTCGGCAACCGTCGGCTCGAGGGGCTCATCGCCAAGCGCCCCAAGGCCGAAGAGCTCCAACAGAAGGGCCTTCTTAACCCTCAAGTAGTACGACTCGCTCATCCCTTCTCAGTCTCAGTTTCACCCACGCACTCACTGATGGACGTGCTGACTGTCATCGGCTCGTCGACCAGGTCAAGTCGCGGGACAGGAGCATGACCATTGAGGCGCTCAACTTCTTCTTCGGCGGCAGGGCCGTGCGCGCAGTGTCTGCCCGGGCGTCCGGACTGGCCCAGGACAACAACGGCGCAGGCTTTGCCGGCGCAGCTGCTGCCGCTGCCGCTGCCGCCTCGGCCTCTTCCTCCGAGGTCGTGGACGAGCATCCGCTGGGCGAGGAAAGCAGCCCGGCGCCCGCTGCAGACAGAAACAGCAAAGACAAGGAGAAGATGGTCGATGATAACCAACGCGAGGCGGAAGTGGCCGAGATCAAGCCCCTGCGCGGGAGCGACAACAGTGGCCGGAAGAGGCTTCTCATCGTCGTGCAGGGCACGCGTGACGACATCCAACCCCATATCGCCCTAGGTACCGTTCAATGGAGGGCAGTCCCTCATGAGTGCGTGTCGTGTGTCGTGTGCTGTGCGGGATGAATGCCTTACGTTGGTTCTCTTTCAGCGGTTGGCATGATCGCTGCGGGATGGGACGTGGCGATGGCCACCCACGAGGTCTTCTCTTCGCTGGTTCAGGTGCGGCACTGGTGGACACCCGGGGCTCTTATGAGGCTGCCTCCCTCTTTACTCACTGTCTTGCCCACACGCAGGAGCGAAGCCAACACATCCGCCTCTACCCGCTCAAGGGCGATCCCGCGTCAATCGCCAGCTCCCCTCAATTCATGAAATCCTTCTACGACGGAGGTACGGAACCTCTCTTTCCCTTTCCCTTTCCCTTTCTCTTCCTCACACTCCTCCTCATCATCAACAGGTCTGCTGGGCCAGGCGCGGGTGTTGTTCGACGAATCGAAGAAGTTTGCGGTGCCCAACTTCAAGCTGACATGGGAGGCCGCCGCGCAGTTCGAGCCGGGTCTCATCCTGGCCGGCATCGCCAGCCTCTCCGAGTCGCTGGCCGTGGGCCAGAAGCTGCGGGTGCCCGTTGTGGCCGGCTGCACCGTGCCCTTCTACCCCACCTACCGGTGGTTACCCGTGGTCAGCCTTGCCAAGCCGCTCCCGCTCGGCCTCTTCAACTCGCTGGTCCACTGGGCCTCGTTCAAGGGCCTGTGGGCGTTCCTCCAGGAACCGATCAACGCCTTCCGGGCCGAGCTCGACCTGCCCCCGCAGCCCCATTACTACGTCGACGCCGCGCCCCTGCTGTGCCTCTTCAGCGAGGCCGTGGTGCCGCGTCCCTCGGACTGGCCGACCGATCTACTCGAGATTACCGGCTACTGCAACGTGCCCGGGGCCGTCGCATACGAGCCGTCGCAGGTCCGCCCCCCCACTCTTTTCCACTGTCTCTCCGCGTATGTTACTGATGTGGATTGCTTCGTGTCATGTGGCGCGCGGCTGGCAGGAGCTCGAAACATTTTTGAATGACGGAGCGCCGCCCATCTACATGGGCTTCGGTCTGGTGCCGCTCAAGAACGCTGCCGTACGTCGCGTTGGTCTGCCGTACGTCACTGAACGTTGGTCAGCTCAGCACTGACCATCGCCTCGGTGTTTTGGTGTCGTGCACAGAAGCTGGCGCTGGACTTTTGCGTGGTGCTGGCCAGGCTCAGACGGCGCGGCGTGGTGCAGATGTACTGGCCGGAGGACCAGGCGAGTGTCGCCGAGGCCCTCTCGAAACACGAGCACGTGATGCTTCTCCCGCCCGACATGCCCCATGAATGGCTCTTCCCGCGCTGCTCCGTCGTACGTCCTACCGCCACACCTCGCCTCTTGCTCGGCCACGCACACGCACCACCCCACACCCACACCGCGCCGTAATCACGAGCAACCGCACGCATTCGGCTTTACATTGTAGGTTGTCCACCACGGCAGCGCTACGTGACTGCTGCTGCCTTGCGGGCCGGCGTGCCGAGCGTCATCTACCCGCTCTTCATGGATCAGCCTTTCTGGGCCAGCCGCGTACTTGGCTTTCCCTAGCTTTGCTCCTTTATGATCTCCCCCCAAGCCAGCTTGCTGACACATGTGGATTCATCAATGGCTTGCCCGACGCTCAGGCTGCGACGTTGGGCGTCGGCCCGCCCCAGGTGATCCCCTTGAAGGAGCTCTCACGCACCAACCTCCAATCCCAGATCATGTCCGTTTCCGACGAAGGTGCGCGTACAGCCGTGTGTGTGCGTGCGTGCGTGTGTTGTGTGTGCAGTGGGCTGACAGTGGAGGTGAGTGCAGTGGTGCTCAAGCGAGCGCGAGAGCTGGCCGACACCCTGAGAGAGGAGGTGGACGGTGTGGCCAACGCAGTGGCCTGGCTCGAGCGGTACGTCGACTCGGCCATCCACCCGCACAACTACGCCGCCCACAAGCCCTGGGGACAAGAGGGCCGCTTTGTCTGGCTGCCCGATGACCTGGTAAGCGCATCACGACACACTACCCTTAAACAACACACGACCCATCAAACAGCCACGACGCGCGACACGCACATTTGCTGACGTGGCGTGGACCAATGCCCAAGGTCACGGCCTGCGCTGCGTGTGATACTGAGTTTACGCTCTGGGTGCGGCGACACCACTGCCGCCTGTGCGGGGCCATCTTCTGCACCCGGTGCCTGAGCAAGCAGCGCGGTCTGCTCAACCATCCGCGGACTGAGTCGAAGCTCGTGTGCCACCAGTGCAACCCCTACGCCGCCAGACCCACCGTCACCGCCACCGCCACCACTGCCTCCGCCTCCGACGCTGGCAACGAGTGATTGTTGGATCCTACAATCAATGCAAGACATTGTTGACGAAGGCGATGGTACATAGGAAGCTGTTGTGGTGTGGTGTTGTGTCGTGTCGTGTAGCGTTGCGTTTAGATGAGGGCCACGTGCTGGTCTTCGAATTCGCGGCGGAGGCGCATGCGGCGTCGGTGCTGCGCGCGGTTGAAGCTGAAGATGCCGATGGCCAGCAGCGCAGCGGCGAGGGCGACCGCGCCGCCGCCGCCCACGAACCAGGCCCACCGCGGCAGGCCGCCCCACCCGCTGCCGCCGCTCGACTCGCACACGGCCGACGTCGCCGCCGAGATCGTGAACGACGTGGCGAAGTGGCCCAGCAGCCGCTTCACCTCGGCCTCTGGCAGGGCAGCGGGGGTCGTCGAGGTCGATAACGAGCTCGAGGCGATGGTGGTGGTGCCGTTGTCGACGATCTGCCACACTTCGATGGTGATGACGTGGCCGGGTTCTTCCGGGAGCGGGCACTCGACTTCGGTCGCACTGTCTGCGATGGCGAGCGATGACGACGAGTAGGTCGACGACGACGAAGCTGAAGAAGGCGGCGAGGAGGAAGAAGGAGTGGAGGACGAGGAGTTGAAGATGAAGGTGCACTGGTAGGTGCAGGTGGAGGAGGTGGTGAGGTCGTTTCCGGTGATAATGACGTCGGCGCCGGGGCAGTGTCGGGCCGGAAGGCTGTAGTTGTGCACCACCGGCTCTCCGGCGGCGGGCGCCAGCGCAGCGTCAAGAGCTCGCGCCTGTTGTGGTGGTGGTGCGTGTCAAAGAACGAAAGCGAAAGGAATGAGTGAGAAAAAAGAGAAGGCGGCATACCTGACCGAAGAGGACGAGGGCCACGAGGCAGGAGAGGACGACGAGCGGCGTGGAAGGCATGCCAAGCGGTGTGCTTGGGTGTTGTTGTGGTTCAGATACAGAAGAGGCGGTAGGGGGTGCAGTTCAGTGAGAAGATAGCCCGACATCCGGTTGCCCGAAGCCGTGGCTGCCCGAGAAGGTGTTCCTCAATGACGGTCCTTACTCGGTCGTTTCTCTCGGCTTTTTGGTGGGAGTGGGCTCGCGCTGTGGTTGGCCCACAAAATCTGTTTTTTGGTAATTTAAAAGGCTCAACTTTTATAAAAGCCACCCCGTGCTGCGGCGACGGGAGTCGACCCGTGAGGGACAGCGCGTAGCTGCTGACTCCCAGCTTCTCACTCGCCACCTGTGAAGACCAGGTCCAAGGTGTTAGGTGCGTGCAGTCAGCAAGCTGAGCCGTGCACATGGGCAGCACTCTCTTCCACTTTACCTGAGCCTCGATGATTGGGTTGAAGGTGGCGTCCAGGAAGTAGGACAGCGGCAGTGTGGGGTGAGGCTCGAGATAGGACGTGAAGGGTCGTTCGGCCCCTTCTTGCGGAGGATAGGGGATCTGGTGCGCCGGTCGGATGAACGAGACCAGTCGCGAGTGGCCGACGTCTTTCTTCTTCTTTTCGTTTTCATAGAGGGCGTTCATGAGGCCTTGGATCTGTATGATGCGAACATGTCCACCACGCATGAGCAGTGCCACATTACAGTTGAGTGCTGTGTGCGTGGGCCAAGCATGTACCTCAACGGAGGGCGGGGCGACGAAGTACATCTTCATCAGTTGGAGCATCTGAATGCTGTCCAGCTGTTGCCTGCACGCGTGTTTCCGAAGCAGCAAGCCACCAACATTAACACAGCGAGACAGAGTGTGACTGGGACAAGAGCAAACGAACTCGAGCTTGCGGCATTCGAAACGAAGGGAAAGGCAGGAGAGAGACGGACCTGATGC